GGGCACGTCCGCAGCCCCGCTCCCCCGCTTGGCTGCGGGTTCGCCCTGCCCCCGGGCCGCCGTGAGGCCAGCGTGCCCTGCGCTCTCCGCCCGCCTCCGACCCTGCGGGCCCTCCGCCTTGGGGCTGAGAGTGCGGGGACGGCCCTCACGCATGTTCACTTCTTCAAATCTGGCCCTCTTTGAAAAAAGTTTGGACACCCCTGGTGTAGAGTTAGCGTTATGGAGTATGGAATGATTTATGGTTTAAATGTGCACAGGAAAGCCATCAAGGGTGTTTCCCTCAATGTCTGGGTGATCACCTGGAAATAGCCTCTTTTCTCCTTTAAGTCTTAGCAGTGGTTGGCCTTAGGAAGACACATGACCACCCCAACTGGTAGGGTCTGACCTGGTAATTTTCCATGGAAGGGTGGAATGTAGAGACAAAGTATTCCTGCCTAAAAAGAAGGCTATTTAACATGCAAAGTTTTCAGGCCCTTGGTCTTTGGCTGGCATGACACTCCCAAGAGAGTGAACCAGAGACCCCAACGAAAAAAGATTTTATTGGAGGTTTAGCTGAAGTAAGAACAGTTTTAGGGTAAGTCTGTAATGAGCTTTTAGTGTTAGAACTAGCTATGCTCTCTTAGCAGTGGTTGGCCTTAGGAAGACACATGACCACCCCAACTGGTAGGGTCTGACCTGGTAATTTTCCATGGAAGGGTGGAATGTAGAGACAAAGTATTCCTGCCTAAAAAGAAGGCTATTTAACATGCAAAGTTTTCAGGCCCTTGGTCTTTGGCTGGCATGACACTCCCAAGAGAGTGAACCAGAGACCCCAACGAAAAAAGATTTTATTGGAGGTTTAGCTGAAGTAAGAACAGTTTTAGGGTAAGTCTGTAATGAGCTTTTAGTGTTAGAACTAGCTATGCTCTTTCTGTTATTTTAAATTTGTAATTCACTTTGCTCTGCCTGTTTTCATTTGCAACCACTTAAATCCTACTGCTCGTACTTAATAAAACCACTTTTATTTACTATCAAGCCCAGCATAAATAATTTGTTAGCTGGGGGAGCCATCAAAGAGACAAAGTATTCCTGCCTAAAAAGAAGGCTATTTAACATGCAAAGTTTTCAGGCCCTTGGTCTTTGGCTGGCATGACACTCCCAAGAGAGTGAACCAGAGACCCCAACGAAAAAAGATTTTATTGGAGGTTTAGCTGAAGTAAGAACAGTTTTAGGGTAAGTCTGTAATGAGCTTTTAGTGTTAGAACTAGCTATGCTCTTTCTGTTATTTTAAATTTGTAATTCACTTTGCTCTGCCTGTTTTCATTTGCAACCACTTAAATCCTACTGCTCGTACTTAATAAAACCACTTTTATTTACTATCAAGCCCAGCATAAATAATTTGTTAGCTGGGGGAGCCATCAATGTGTACATCCTCCTTTAATTGTTAAAGGGGGCTTACCTACATAATTAATTTGGGGTTCTGATCCCATTTGGGGGTTGGGTTGCTAGAAGCTGTGCCCGAAATTGCATTCTCCTCCGATCTGAAGAGGTTCAGGGTCTGTATTGCTCTTTGGAGGGGCAGTGATCTCAGCTTTGTGCCTTGGCTGAAAGCAGACTAGGATATCTGCCCAGCAGCACAGGGTGAGTGTCAGGGGCTTTATCAGTACACCAGGAAGCACACCCCCACAGGGGTCTTCAGTGACTGCACCCCATCACCACAGGTAACCTCCTTTAGAGCCAACCCCTGCACCCAGGTGGCCTCCTGCTGGGCTGCAAGTGGCTTGAACCAGGGCTTTCACCAAGTCCTCCATCTTGGTGAGCCCTTAACTCAAACAAATAAGGGAAATACTTGTGGAGAGGGGGGTTTAGGTTTTTTCCCAACACCCTGGTGTCTTTTTCCCTTGTTTTTTTTTTTTTTTGGGCGGGGGGGGTTCTTCACCCTCTTTCCTCTGCTGTGCTGTGAGTCATCCCACTCCTAACACCAGTTGTGGCAGAGCTATGGCTGTACCTGTGGGTCCTGCACTTCTGGCAGATAGTGTTCAGCCTCAGAGGCTTGCTGTCCCACCACACGGCCTCTTTCTCTTTACTAGAGGCAGG